ATGCAAGCACTTGGACCATCTTCCGTTGCTCTCCTAGGCCCATTAGCAGGGGCTGGATCGAAGCGGAGCAGCTGGGATGACACTGGCTCCAGTTCCTCTCGGGGCACTTACATCTGTCCAGCTTCTTGCTAATGCACCTAGGAGGCAGTGACTGGTGAGGACTGAAATACTGGTGTTCCTGCCACCCACATGGGATCCCAGATGAAGTGCAAAGTTTCTGGTTTTGGCCTGGCCTAGCCCTGGCTGTGGCGGGTGGTGAACCAGAAGAGGGGGGCATCTGTTAACTCTGCCTTTCAAAGTAAAATACGGCTTGGGGAGGTAACGCTCCGTGTCCGCCTGCCCCTCTGTTGGCAGAGGAGGCTCTGCACCTGGTGAATACCCGAGCCCAGCCACATCCCTGCCCTAGCATGGTCACTGGAGAGGGAGGGGCCGTAACCATAGCCATGGCCCACTGTTAGCCCCGACCTGGTGCACACCCTTTGGGAAGCCTGTTCTCGGCTCTTTGCCTCTGTGTGCAGGGCCAACCCTCCTCTTCCCTGTCCAGGTCCTTTATTGCAGTCCCCTCTCCCAGTAAAATGCATCCTGGGTGTGCCCCTGGGAGAGAGAAGCGCATAGCTGCTACTGAGGGCCCTGAATGACTGCCCTGCCCGTGGGTGTCCAGGGCCAAAAGAGGTATCTGCCTGGTCCAGCCTTCCTGTCCATGCACTGTCACCAAGCTCCTGAATCCGCAGTCTTTTTGCAAAACATTGTTGAAGAAACATAGCCCAACATTCAAGCTCCCTGCTTCTCTCCTGGGGATCCTGCCCCCCACCCCGCCCCGGCAGCCCAGGGGTGGATAACATGATGGTGACATCCCTGATGAATCTGTTTTGGGGCCTGGGGAGTCTCCCCAAGGCTGGGGGAGCTGCCACTTCCTGTACCACCTGGCTGTTACCTTCTCCCCTTCCTGGGTGACTCTTAGGTGATCTTTGGGACTCTGGCCCTGATTGGGCCCCTGCCGGAGTCTTGATGGAGGGGATGAGAAGAGATGGGGAGCCTGCAGGGAGAGAGCCCAGGCCCTTCCTCTCTGAGAGTGGCAAGGTCATTAACAATGGACCACAAAGACCGGGGGTGGGGGGTGGTGGTGGCTCAGGAAGTGTGCCAGCCTGTGATAACCCCAGGGGTGGGTCTAGCAGATGCGATGGAACCTCTCCCTCCCCAGGGACTTGAAAGACCATGGGGCTTGTCTGTGGGCACCCCTAGAGCTGCCTGTGCCGGATGTGGTTGTGTCCATTCTCATGGGCATGCCTGGGCTGGGCTGGGCCCTGCGAACCCGGGTTTGCCTCTCCCCATCTGGTTGTGGCCTTGGTCCATGTGGAACCTGGGACCTCCACAGGTTCCTCTGGGGGAACTGTCCTGCAGCACCTGTCGTCTTTCCCCGAACACTGAGGCCTTGCTGCCCTTCCCCCATGGCTCCCTCGGACTGCAGACATAGAATCTTGAGTGCAAGGACGTGACTGCCCCAGCCCGCCATGAAGATGACCATTTGAGAAGGGCTGTACTTGTCCATCACAGTCTAGACCAGCAGGAAGAGTCCCTTGGGTTTTGTGGGTGCTTCTGGGAAGGAGAGGGGCCTGTGGCCTATGTTGTGCTTTGGGTAAAGCTGCTGGCTGCGCTGCCAACATCCCATGTGAGTACCAAATCGAGTCCCAGCTGCCCCACTTCTGATCCAACTCCCTGTTAACGGCCTGGGAAGGCAGCAGGGGATGGCTCAGCTGTTTGGGCCCCTGCCACCGACACAGGAGACCCAGATGAAGCTCCTGGCTCCAACACGACCCAGCCGTAGCCTTTGCGGCCATCTGGAAGTAAAGCAGCAAATGGAAGATTTCTCTCTCACTCCCTTTCTCTAATTTTGCCTTTCAAATAAATAATTAGATCTTTATAAATAAATAATTAAGTAAGGACCCAAGTGAAGGAATTTCAGGAGGGCATAAGCCACCCTTTACTTTTAAGCATTTTTATGTTAGATTCTTTTTATTATTTATTTTCAAGTTACAAAGACGGAAGCACACTAAGAAATCTTTCATCAGCTGGTTCGCTCCCGAAATGACTGCAACAGCTGAGGCTGGGCCAGGCTGGAGCTGAAGCTCAACGCTGAATCCAGGAAGCCAACTACCTGGTACCTGCTGCAGGATGTGCCTCGGCAGGAAGCTGAACTGGAAGCAGAGTTGGGACCCGAAGCCAGGCCCTCATATGGGATGCAGGCGCTCCAAGCCGTGTCTGATTTTAAGATTAGTTTAGTTGAAAGACAGGAAAGGGAAAGATGAAGCTTTTACTTGCCATTCTTCAAATAGCTGCAGCGGCTGGAACTAGGCAAGGCTGAAGCCAAGGGCTCCACCCGGAGTCTCCAGGTGAATTGTAAGGGCTCAGGGAATTGGACTATCTTCTCCTGTTGTCCCAGGTGTTAGCAGGGAGCTGGCTTTGACGTGGAGCAGCCAGGACTCAAACCAGTACTCCTAGGGAGTGCCGATAATCATAGGTGGCAGTTCAACCTACTGTGCCACAAGGCCAGGCCTTTGAGGAGTCGGCCCCTGCCACTCACTCGCTCTCGGTTCTGAGCTCCAGTTTCTCCCTCTAAAACAGAGTAAGCCAGGTAGGGCAGCTACCATCTCCATCATGACCTGAAGATTCCCTTTGTTGCCTTGAGTTGCTTCGCCCACAACTCCCAGTGGGTCCCTTGAGCCTCTCGCACATGTAGGGCGTAGAGCAGGGCGAGCTCTCCGGCTGGGGGACGGGTAGTGCTGCGTTGTGTAGACAAATGGCTCTGAAATACACAGTGATGGCCCAGTCCGAGCCAACTCTGGGCTGAGTGAAGCCCGTTCTTGCTTGTGTTAGGCTGAGCCACATCCGGAAGGACTGAGGTACACGGGGCCAGGCGAGGTCAGGTCTCCAGTGTCAGGGGTTAGTGGCTTGGCTTTGTGGAGTCCAGGAGAGAGATGGCTCAGTGTTGTTGTGGGACTTGGGAAGGCAGGAAGGGCGAGGACTGGGGACCCTGGAGGATGTGTGCGCCTCAGGTGCACAGTGAGGAAGGGCTGTGGATGGGAGGGGGCGGATCTAGAGTTGAATGGTGGGAAAGGCTGGCCTTGGTGATAGTGGATAGGGCTGGGGGGTGGGCGCTAACCCTCTCCACCAGCTGCCAAGCTTGCGGACAGGACACCCCCTCCCTCTGCTTTACCAGCTGGCTTTGTTTCTGGCCTTGCTGTCACCCTACACAGGTGCTGGGGCACTGACAGCAGAGTCAGGGTCTTATTCTGCTGCTTGGTAAACCAAGCTGCATGGGCCTGAAGGGCAAGTCTCTCTGGGCCTCAGTTTTCCTCCCTGTACAATGGGAGCGGGTAGGAGGACATCATTTGAGTGACTTGACCCAAGTCAGACCTAAGCATTCAGTTTAGACCTTGCCAGTGACTTGGCCTTCTGGGAGGTGGGACCTGTCCCCCAGTCAGTGTTGGCTATGACCCCCCCAACCTCAGGGGTGGGATGGGAGGACCTAAGAGACAGAAACTGGAGGGAAGGTCTGAGTATATCCCAGGGAAATGTTGGAAGTGGGAATTGAGCTGGAGTTGTGGCCCCCACCCCACACCATCTTGTGCTGGGAAACTTGCTATTTCAAGGGGACCTCTGAGGAACTTTGGCTGGAGAGGAGCCACTGGAGGGAGCATTTAAAATTAGTCCTGCTGAGTGAGACCATGGCCTCCAGGGAAAATGGGGGCAGAGATTGCTGTGAATGGCTCTTGGCTGACCCAAGCCATGTCCCACTGTCCGGGATGGGGGACATTGCTGATCAGGTCTGTCTGGCAGGGCCTTGAGTGCTGTTGCTGAGAGGTGGCTAGCCCCTTGGGCTCCCCTGGAGCCAAGTGCTCAGGCCTCTTGGCCTTTGCTGGCCTACAGTAGCGGGTCCCTTCTCTGCCAGGCTGGATGCGTGGAGAGAAGGTGAAGATGCTGGGGCCCTGGCAGTGCTGCATGCCTTGGGCAGGTCCCCCAGTCTCGGAGTAAGGAGAGGGGGAGATGGAAGGCCCTGCCGTGTGAGGGCAGAAGGGCTGCAGCATCTGGGTGTGGGGATGGCCTGTGTAACCCATCCCGGGGTCCTCCAGTGCTTCTGGGGGAGCCGTGTCAGGGGTGTAGGTTGTTGCCCTTGTGGGAGATCCACCAGATGGAGCCCCACACTCCTGGCTTCAGTCCGGCCATTGCAGACATCTGGGAAGTAAACCAGTGGATGGGAAATAACTGTCGTTTCATCTCCTCCTCTCTCCTGCCTTTCAGATAAAACAAAAGAAAATAAATAGCAGTGGTAAAGTTAGTAACAGTTCTCACAGACCACCCTTTAGTTCAGAAAGTCAAGTTCAGCTAGAGTCGGGGTGGGCAGCTTGTGTTGAGACCTGGCATTGCTGCCATGTGGCGGGCAAGGCTCTCACAGTGATCATCTGCTAAGATCCTACGCGTATTTTGAGACCTGGCATAATTGCCCTGTTTCATGTTCTGGCTGCCCCGCTTCCCATCCAGCTCCCTGCTTGTGGCCTGGGAAAGCAGTTGAGGGCAGCCTACAGCCTTGGGACCCTGCACCCGTGTAGGAGACCCAGAAGACGCTCCTGGCTTCTGATTGGCGCAGCTCTGGCTGTTGCGGCTACTTGGGGAATAAACCAGCAGATAGAAGATCTTCCTTTCCATCTCCTCTCTGTAAATCTGACTTTCAGGAAAAAAAAAAAACAAAATTAAAAAAACAAAAGCCAGGAGCTGCTTCAGGTCTCCTATATGAGTGCAGGGTTCCCAGGTTTGGGACATCCTCTGAGCCAGAGTGAGCAGGGTGTACAGATGAGGTTTGACACGTCGTGCTGTGACACCTGGGTTGATTGGTCTCTGTCCAGCTGAGTCCCAGGAAGTGTCGCATTTCTCTTCAGGCTCCCCATGTGCAACACACTCCCCGTGCTCCCTGGCCCTCACAGCCACCCCGTCTCTGTCCCCAGGTTCGAACACTGTTCGTCAGTGGCCTCCCTGTGGACGTTAAGCCCAGAGAACTCTACCTGCTCTTCCGGCCGTTCAAGGTGAGTCAGCACCTAGCTGTCCATGGCGCAGAGGCCCGAGACCGGGGAGAAGCAGCAGCAGTGAATGCATGAATGAATGAATGAAGGAAGGAGTTATGTGGATTGGGCAGGGGAGGGACCTAGGAGACTCAGGAATTGTTTAAATAAATTTAATCATTCATTCATTTGACTAGTGTGATAGAGACCCAGCTGCTGGTACACTTTTCCACGTGGCTGTAGCAGCCAGGACTGAGCCAGGCTAAAAGCCATCTGGGTCTCCCATGTGGTGGCAGGGGCCCCAGGCCCATCTTCTACTGCTTTCCCAGGTCTATTATTAGCAGGAGGTTGGGTCAGAAGTAGACCAACTATGGTTTGAACTGGTGTTCTGTTGTGGCATACCAGCAACACAGGCAGCAACTTAACTTGCCACAGCGCACGGCCCTGAGAATCAGAGTGATGGCGGGCGAGCTGCATGTCCTGGTTCTGCTCACTGCCGTGGTTCCTGCCTTCACTGGCCCAGCTCTTCTGCTCCTGCCTCCTCATCCATAAAGTGGAAGCAGTAGGGAGCTGTAACTGCCGCTGCTGTGTAAGGAATCTTGGAGATTGTGGCTTTTTCAGTGTGCAGATGAGAAAACCTAATAGGTAAAAGTATGAGCTCCTAGATTGCAAGTTAGTGCAGCAAGAGGGAATTTCTGCCAGATGTGACAGCGAATATGTCAGGCCACCCACCCCTGGTGCTAGGCCCCGTGGCCAGGATCCCAGGAGCAATGGGGACTGGGCTCACGGGGGTGACGCAGGGGTGGTGGCTGGCCAGGCTGTGCTACATCAGCACCACATACGGGTACCAGCCTGTCCCCAATAATGGCTGCTTCTCCCCACAGGGGTACGAAGGCTCCCTGATCAAGCTCACCTCCAGACAGGTAACCACTTCTCTCCTCTCAGCCCAGTTCAACTGGCACACCAGGTGGGGGGGTGCTAGCGCATGCCCATCTTGTGGTCTCTGGCCATGGAGACCGTCTTGACTTATATCGTCTGTTTCTGTCTCTGGCCGACGGGAGAGGCAGCCTGTCCTGGTCCCTCTGTTCCTCACCATCTGTCTGGGTTGGTCCTTGGAAGCACATCCTTAATGCATGAGTGCCACCCTCCCCCTTTTTACCTGGGGAAGACCCCCGAGTTACTGGGAGGGTAACGTTGAGCATGGAGGCAGAGAGCACCACTCTCCTCCTTTGCCAGGGTGGCACCGGGACGGGAGTTGTTGGTGCATGTCAGCCTCCTGCCACTCTAGCTGAGCGTGGGCATTTCCTGGTCTTCTCCCCACTAATGGACAAGACGGGGGCTGTGTGTGGGAGGGAGCGACTGTGACACCAGGAGAGGTGCCAGGGTCTTCTCTCTTCTTCCTGCTAGCCTGTTGGCTTTGTGATCTTTGACAGTCGGGCAGGAGCAGAAGTGGCCAAGAACGCACTGAACGTGAGTAGGTGGAGAGGGCGAGTCTTGGAACCCACAGCCCCCGGGTTCTTTGCAGCCTTCCTCCGCCCTGTGCCCTGCGGAGATGCCCTCTTGGCTTGGAACCCCCATGTCTCCTGCCGTGCCCCAACCCCTCCCAGCAGTGTGGCTCCTGGACACTCAGTGCGCCCTCTCTTTCCCATCCAGGGTGTTCGCTTTGATCCTGAGAACCCACATACCCTGAGACTAGAGTTTGCCAAAGCAAACACCAAGATGGCCAAAAGCAAGCTCCTGGCAACACCCAATCCCAGCAGCATCCATCCTGCCCTCGGCGCACACCTCATCGCGCGGGACCCCTGTGAGTGGTGCCCTTGGCCGGCAGGCCTGGGTGTGGGGCTGTGTCCAGCACCAGTCAGGAGGCTGCTCGCGTGAGAGCTGGCTTCTGACACCTCGTGGCCATCTCCTCCCCTTAAGTCTGGGTTCACGTGGGCTGAGGCTCATGCTGGCGCTCACCAGGGCACCGCAGGCAAACAGTTTCTCTCCTTGGGGTTTAGAGTCCCCGGTGGGAGTGGGACAACTTCTGGCCCAAGTATTGTTTGGAAGGGGGTTGGTTAGGCGGGGAGGCTGCCATGCTGACGACGGAGGCTGTTGTCTCCTGTTGTAGATGACCTGATGGGGGCCGCTCTGATCCCTGCATCCCCAGAGGCCTGGGCCCCTTACCCTCTCTACACCACAGAGCTGACCCCAGCCATCTCACACACTGCGTTCACCTACCCAGCTGCCACCGCTGCTGCAGCCGCCGCCCTGCACGCCCAGGTGAGCCCCGACTCGGCGTCAGAGGAGGAGGAGGGCTGTGTGCTGACCACAGGACACGGGTGATCTGCACTCTTCCAGGCTGATTTCTGCGCCTGGACTTGAGCTCTCATTGGGTTGTTGGGGGCAGAAGTGGAGGTGGTGGCAGGGAGAAAGGGCCTCGTGGGGCCTACTTGTATTTGGCCTGTGCTGGACAGACAGCCCGAGGCATTGTCAGAGTGTGGGCCCAGAACCCGAGCTCCTGCCCCATCTCCCCTCCTCATGTCTCTGCTCCCATTCACTGAGCTCAAGATTTCCTTGCCTTGGGAACTGGGGTGGGGATGCTGGGGTGAGGGCTGGGTGAGTGCGCAGGAGGGCCAGGACCACCCCGAGGCGTTAGCAGAACTCACCAAGTGCCTACTCTTGTTTTCTTCCAGCCCCTATGCCCTGCACGGCTGCCCAGCCTGTGGCAGGAAGCAGGGAGCAGGAACAGCCTGAGGAGAGCTGAGGGGAGCTCAGAACCAGGCAGGAGGTTCTCAGTGGGCAGGCAGATGGTCAGATCCTGGCCCTTGGCAGGGCAGGGCATCCTGAGCCCACCTGTGCCCCTGCTCAGCCGAGGGCCCGAGAGCTGATCCCGGTGACAAGGCCTGGGGCGCCATCCGAGGGCGGAGTCCACATCACATCACAGATCCTGAAGGAGCTTAGGGATGGGGCTCACCCAGGTGGTGAAGGTCGGATGGGGGAGTCATTCATGCCTAGCAGACTCTTGGCCACTGTGGCTGAGTCCTGGTGAGAGAGGTGTCTGCCATTTTTCCTCCTGTGACTCCTCTAGCCCCCTGGTGGCTTTTCCAGAGCCTGGGCTGAAAGTGGCTGAATATGGGTGTGGGCTCTGTTCTGAGCCTGGGGGCAAGGAGGTGACTGGGGCAGCAGCCTGCAGACATGCGCAGGTGAGGCTGTTCCTCCTCTCCTTGCCCCAGGCACCTGCCCTCTGCCTCAGTGTGGAACCTGCGAGGGTTGGGAGTGTGCTGGGCCACCTCGCCAATTCCTGATCCTCTCAATCAAGTCTCTGTCTTTCAGGGCCACTGCAATAGGCCTGTGTGGCTTGGGCACAGTGGGGCTAGGCACCCATAATCGAGGACTTTCCATTCCCAGTCTGGGTCTTATTTCTGCTTTTCTGCTTTTTTTTTTTTTTTTTTTTTAATTTGAAAGGTAGGGGGACAGAGAAAGAGAATGGTCTTCCTTTTGCTGGATACACCAAGTGGCCCCAGAAGCCACACCAAAGCCAGAACTCCATCAAGATCTCCCACGTGGGTGCACGGCCCCTTCACTGCTTTCCCAGGGGTTGGGATTGAAGCATCTGGGATTTGAACCAGCACCCAAATGGGATCCTGCTATCACACCTGGTGGCTTTGCCTGCTACATCCTAGTGCGGGGCCCTCATTGTCCATTTTAACCTGAGGAGATGGAGGGCCTTAAGCGTTTCCTGTTCCACTTTGAACTGGCTCTGGCACGTACCCGTCACGTTATGGTGGCGTGCACTCCCATGCTTCTCCTTTCGTAACTGTGAAATGGAGACTGTAGTAGCGTAGACTTCGTGATTCTGCTGTGTGAAATGAACAGCATGTGGTGCCCGGCAAGGGCGTCTAAGCCCTAGGCATTCAGGAGGAAAGTGGGCAGGGTTTTGTTTATGTTTTTTGTTGTCTGATCATCTCATTTCTCCAGACAAAACCTTACTTTGATAGTTTCTAGATCTGGTAGGTGGCTAAGTGGAGGTGCTAGTATATCTGCACCGGTGCATGCTTTACCAGTAGTGTTGTTGGTAGTTCATCTTTTTCATACTTGGGACTGGAGCGTTCCTCTTTCTTGGTAGGTTCCTGGCTGGTGCCTAGCTGTGTCGCTGTGTCAGGCCCTCCATGGTGAATTTTGGATTCATACAGTGTGGGGTGCTGGTGGACTCTCCTGTAGGTGGCGCCCTTAGTCACACTTATCAGGGTACCTGTCTTGTTTTTATTATTTAAAAAAAATTGGGGCTTAGCGCAATAGTGTAGCGGTTCAACTCCTCACCTTGAACACACTGGGATCCCATATGGGCGCCGGTTCTAATCCCGGCAGCTCCACTTCCCATCCAGCTCCCTGCTTGTGGCCTGGGAAAGCAGTCAAGAATGGCCCAGAGCATTGGGACCCTGCACCCATGTGGGAGACCCAGAAAGAAGTTCCTGGCTCCTGGCTTCGGATTGGTGCAGCTCCAGCCATTGCAGCCGCTTGGAGAGTGAATCATCAGATGGAAGATCTTCCTCTCTGTCTCTCTGCCTCTCTGAACATCTGCCTTTCCAATAAATAAACCTTTAAAAAAAAATCGTTTTTGGGCCCGGCACGATAGCATAGTGGTTAAAGTCCTTGCTTTGCATGTGCCGGGATCCCATATGGGCGCCGGTTCTAATCCTGGCAGCTCCACTTCCCATTCAGCTCCCTGCTTGTGGCCTGGGAAAGCAGTCGAGGATGGTCCAAAGCCTTGGGACCCTGCACCCACGTGGGAGACCTGGAAGATGCTCCAGGCTCCTGGCTTCGGATCGGCTCAGCCCCAGCCATTGTGGCCACTTGGGGAGTAAATCATCTTAAAGAAAACATTTTTTTAAGATTTATTTATTTTTATTGCAAAGTCGGATATACAGAGAGGGGACGTTGGTGGCTGTGTGTTGGGACTCCCCTGAGGGGCAGGGACCGTGCAGCTGCCTGCTGACTCTCAGCTTCTCTTGCAGGTGCGCTGGTACCCTTCCTCTGACCCGGCCCAGCAAGGATGGAAGTATCGCCAGTTCTGTTAACGCCTCCGTAAGTGCTGGCTGCAGAGCCCCCCTCCCGACCCTTCCCTGCTCACTGGGGGCTTTGCCCGGTGTTGCTCTGCTCCTCCCGCTCCGACCCCTGCCGTGCACCTCCACTCATGGCCATCCCCTCCCGCCCCTCCAGGTCTCGGCACCGGGGAGCTGGTTCTGGGCACCCGTGTGGGGGGCCCGCACAGGTGCCATGAGCCCCCGCGCGCCCCGGGCGGCCGGCGCAGAGCCGCTGCGTGCCTCCAGAGACTGTGAATCTTGAGCCTGCCTCAGTGGACTGCCTCCTGGTTGCTGCCCCTCCTCTTCCTCAGCCTTGCCCTGCCCCTCCGGGCCTCCCAGGAGGGTGAGGAGGCCTCTCTAGGCCCCAGCCACCCTCCCCCTAGAGGAAAACACGGTGTTTTGGTTTTGCATGTTTTCTGGCACGGAATTCGACACTTTACCACGTGTGTCTGTGATGTCTGCCAGCGCACACTTTGCTCTCCCACTGCGTTGCCATAGCAACTGGCCCTGGCCACCAATGGGTCATCATGCGCAGTCCCCCCCACCCATCCACCCCACTCCCCATTCCACCTCCCACTTCCCAGTCCAGCAGTCCCCAGCACCCCCACGAGTCTCCAGCAGTCACCGTCATGTCTCGCCGGGTCCTCTGTGCCCCCTTGCTCAGCCGGGCCAAAGACGATCAGACGTCCCCCTTCCTTGTGTGCCCACCTTGTCCACCTCCCCACCGCCACTCCTCACTCTCCAGACCTCAAGACCAACTAGAACATGAGAAGTATTTTTGTACCCTGCGTAACAAAATATTTATGCCTCGTAAAGGACGTTTCGTGTGTGTGCCATGAATTATGGAAGAGCCCGAGCTCGCCCATCAGAGGGGTTTTGAGTTTGGAGCTGTGAAGAAGGGAAAAGGTTTACGTTCTGTGGCCACGTGCCTTTTCTGTCAGGCGCCAGGCTAAGGACGAAAGGCAGGACACCTGCACCATGTGGTTCTGTTTTTTTTTTTTTTCTTTTCTTTTCTTTCTTTTTTTTTTTGTGAACCTGTCCGAGCATCCCGGAGCTGCGGCTGCGCCTCGGGAGCCGGGGCGGTGAGGATAGATTCTGTGAGAATGTGAAACTGGATAATATACGAAACAGAATAAAAGTCTCCAAAGCCACTGCACTCTGCCCTGCGCTTCCTCCTGGCATGGAGTGTGGGCTCCCCAAGGGTCGGGGGAACACCAGAGATGGTAACCTTAAAGGGGGCTAGGTAGGTAGGCCACAGAGCCTGCCCTCCTTGGCTTTATAACGCACCTCCTTTCTGCACCCGGGCGAGCACCCAAAGGTGTCCTTGGGACGCTCTTGGCTTTCACACTTGGAGGCCTCTGGCTTTCCCGGGCCATCTAGGAGAGGAGTGGGGTCGGGGCCGCCTTGGGAGGCCAAGCTGGATGGGGAGGGGGCTTGCCCCTGAAAGGATTAAGTGAAGTCGCCAGGCTGGGGGATGAACTCTGATTCCTGGGCTGGTGTTGCCAGGTGAGGGGTGAGGGCAAGGGGCCAGACACCTGCAGCCCTCGCAGTCAGAGGGAGGGGCAGCTGCTGGGAACCCCACAGCCAGGCCCAGGGCCCAGCTGCCACCTGACCTACTTCCTTGCCTCTGGAAGCACTAGGCTATCCTGAGGTGATGAATTATTTAGCTGAGGCGCTTGTGCCTTTCTGAGTGCTGCTCCCTGCACTTACCCCTGCCCGCTGGCTTCCCTTGGGGCCCTCCTGCACACACCAGAGAGCAGATCCTAGGCCTGGGAGCAGGGCAAGGGGAAGGCCTTACAGCCACTCCAGCCATGGTGGAGGCTTTGCTGGGGTGGGGATGGGGACCTGCAGAAAAACCTTGGTGGATGCCCCTGTTTGCCTTGAACTTGAGTTGGGCCCTGCAGGAAGACCAGGGTCAAAAGCAGCTGGGCCCTCCTGACTTCCCTCCCCAGTAAGGCCCTTAGCAGAAGACGCATCATCCTGGTCTCCGGCTGCAGTGGGAAAGCTGCATCCCTTCCTGAGAAGGTCTCAGGTATCTGGGAGGAACCAGGGGTCTTTCCAGCAGCCTCAGCATCTGCAAGGTGGAAGGGGTGCAACCCAGCACCATCCCTCAGGTCCTGGGGAGCCCCTAGTGCCCTGTGCCAGCTACAGCAGCTACACCTGCGGCAGATGCATTGCCGCTGTACCCAGACTAAGCCAGCATCTTCCAGGGACACGCCAGCAAGATCAGCAGGAGAGCGACCTCTAGGTCCCAGGAGGGTGGAGCCCAGACATCATTCTGGCTACCTTCCTGCCCTGCCCCGTGGCACCTGTTCCCCAAGCTCCCAGGTGGGCCTTTTTGGTCCTGAGGATAGAGAAAGACCTCAGCCGTCACACTCTCAGCTTTGTTTCCTGATGCTCTGTCCAATTTTCCTACTGGTGCCCAACTCACCCATGCTGGAGCCATGCACACAGGATGCCCCAGCCGTCCAGGTCTTGCCCTATGGCTCTTGAAGCCAGGACCACGACCTGGGTCTGCTGACCACTACCACCATCTCTCCCCTGGCTTTCTGCTTGGCTCCTCTTGGGCCAGCTGGATATGACTTGGCCCTGAGATGCTGGGTCCTGCTCTCAGGTTAAGGGATGAGCTACATGGCTGGTTTTCCTGGCGTCAACCCCATCATATGTGATTCTCCAGCTTTTGAAGCCAGAAGGTCGGGTTGTTGAGCCTACGGGATCCAGGCGACTCACAGTGCACTCAAGAACCAAAACAGCACCCCAAGTCTCTGCAGACCTCTGCAGGTGTGTGAAAGGGCAGGAAGGTGGGGGCTGGTCCCCAGGGGTGGAGCCCTGGGCTCTCCTCATACAAGGGCAAGGCCACCCTCACTGTGTGCCTGCTGCCTGTCAGAGCCTGTGCCAAGGTGACAGGAAAGGCAGAGATTCTGTGTCTGTCCCCCTTCCCGACTGAGCAATTCTTATTTTTTTGTTGTTGTTGTTGGAAGGGCAGATCTACAGAGAGCAAAACCCCCCAAAACGATGAATCCGGGGTGATTCAAGTTGATTCTACTCAGAAACTCAGCATTATGGAATGAATCTGAAAAGGGGAGCCCCATAGTGCCACATCTCTCATCTTGGAAATGGCCCTGGGGAGGCTACTTAGGACCGGTCACCTCCTGGGAGTCCAAGTTCAGAGGTTAGTGTTGGGCTGTGATGGGCTGAGCCGAAGGGAAAGGACTCACAGACTTAGCCATCCTGCTTCTCTCTTCTGGTTGTTCATCTTTTCAGCACCTGTTAGCTGTGCACCTGCTCTCCACCCTGGCATGTGTTGGGTGCCAGGGACAGGGGAAGGCTTAGTTAGGTTCTGTTGTTAGGGGATGAAGGGGAAGGTTTGGGTTGTGGAGCTGCTCAAGTCTGTAGCAGCCAGGAACGTGGAAAAGTTGAAAGTTGGCAATGCCATGTGCCTCAGTTTCCCTTTATTCCTTCTGCCTGCTGTCCTACTGGCCACTGTCCCCAGGAGTGTGGACCCCTACTGTGTGCTGCATGGGTACCTGACAGGGTAGGTGATGAGGGGGAGATACCCTCATTTCCCTACACAAGGTGACCCCAGAGCAGGACAGTGTGGTAGCAGTAGTGTCATATTCTAGGTGTCTCAACACGGGCCCAGGTCTTCATTTCTGGAACCTACAATGGTGCCCTAAGGACCAGCCTGTGTCTTGAGTGGAGCACCCAGGGGCCCTGGGCCATAGTCAGCCTAGGCTGGCTCTGACCCTGTGCACTGGCTTGTGCTGGGTCTGTCCTGTCCACAGCACTGCATGAATTGTGCGAAAATCCCACGATGGCAGGTTTGTAGCTGTGTGACCTGGTGGGGTCTCTGCTCACTGGCACGCACCACTTCACAGGGACAGAATGGGCCAAGTGGGAGCTTGGGCGCCCTCTTGTGGCTGAAGACGGCTTCGAGCCTCTTAGGTGCTAGGAGGTGGGTTGAGTCTGGACAGAGATGGGATAGAACAGTCAATGGCAAACAGGGATGGAACACCTGCTGAATGTGGGATTCGCATGTAGCAAGCCTCCCCCACTACCAGGGATGTAGGAAGTGTTGGCTCAGCCCTGGGAGGCAAAGGGATTTGCCCAGGGACCTGTGTACAGACTGAGCATCCAGCTCGAGGTCCTAGGTCATACCCCTGGATGTCCAGTGCTTGTGGTCCTAGAATGGCAGTGAACTTGGCCCAGTGTGATAGCCTAGTGGCTAAATCCTCACCTTGCAACCATTGGGATCCCATATAGGCTTAAGTTTGTGTTCCAGCTGCTCCCACCCAGCTCCCCACATGTGGCCTAGAAAAACAGTAGAGGATGGCCCAAGGCCTTGGGATGCTGCACCCACGTGAGAGACCTGGGGAAGGCTCCCAGCTCTTGGCCTTACATAGGCTCAGCTCCAGTGGTTGCAGCCACTTAGGCAGTGAATGAATGACTGGAAGATCTTTCTGTCTCTTCTCTCTGTATATCTGCCTTTCCAATAAAAATAAATAAATCTTTAAAAAGGGCAGTGAGCCGAGTAACCACAGGGCTCACATTTCCAATTTCTCACAGCTGGCATGGGAACTCCTCTCTGGACTTCCCCCTCTCGGCATGCTGGCCCTGAGTGTCACTGTCTTAGCACTGCCAAGCTCTGATGTCATCTGCGTGCACCTTGCTGGTTCCTGGGCACCTGGGGTGCCTGATATGGGTTGGCCCTGGGGTTATGTATTGAAAAGACACAGCTATGGAGAGAGAAGGAGAGAACTTTTCATCTTGCTTTCCAAATGACCACAGTGGCCAGCACTGGGCCAGGCTGAAGCTAGGAGTCAGGAACTTCTTGGAGGGCTCCCATGTGGCCCAGTGCTTAGGCCATTCCCTACTGTTCTCCCAGGTGCATTAGCAGGGAGCTGGCTTGGAAGTGGAGCAGCCAGAACTCAAAACTAGGGTCCCTGTGGGAAGGCGTTGGCTCAGGCAGTGGCTTTACCTGTTGCATCACGGTGCTGACCCTTGGGGGTTTTTTTGCACCAAAATCGTTATTTTCCACAAAAAGGGCGAAGTACTCTGTATTTATGCCCTTCTCGCCCCATGGTTCCTTTTTCTACAGGCAGAAAGACTGATCTGAACATCTTCCCCTTCCCACGTGAATCATCTCCAGGATGAACCAGACTGTGCTTCCTTAGGCTGCAGTATTGCCCCTGGCCACCAGGGGGCAGGGCCAGGCACCGAAAGCACTTACTTTTGGCCTGGGGCGGAGAGGAGGCGGGAATCTTTGTTTTGCACACTGGGGGCGTGGTGTGGCTTTACCCTCCGCCGTGGCCCATTGGGTGCCCTTGAATCAGGTATAACTCACACTGGATTGCGTGCCCTTTCCTGGCCTTGTCCCTGGGTCTCCAGCCTCTAACGCCGCACTCCAGTGGTCACTGATGTCCCAGCAGCTCTTCCCTGCGTGCATGCTGCCCATCTCCATGTTCACAGTGGAACCTCGGGCACGCTGACGCCTGCTATAGGCGGAGGAGCTGGACCTGTTTTTCCTTTTTTCATCTCGGTTGTAGTGAGTGCCAGCCTGATATCTCAGCTTTACAGACGGAAACACAGAAAAAAACGACCGACTGTGCCATCAACCAGAAACTGAATCTGCACTGCGTGACCTTGCTGGGCAGTGCGGAGGATGTAAGACGGGCAGCTGTGGTTCCCACGCTCCAAGGGACAGCAGCAGTTAGGATAACACACATAGGGAAGGGTCACTCACCCCAGCAG